CTAATATAACTATAAGTGGGTAGACGAAAGTACATATACTCGATCAAACTTCGCCAATACTGGTCGGCAATAAAGAGAAAATGGGAACTTTCGGGAAAAATCTTTATTAGTTAGCTACAGAACACGCCTTACTTTATTATTGTGACTTCATTGGTTTCCTATGCGCTAAACATTGTATCTTCTTGGATATGTTTCAAGCTATGCTATATATTTAATGTTACGTAACTAGTAAACGTCATTAAGACGTGTTCATGCGTATGATTCACAGAACAATAAATGTAGTAGAAGTGCTTAGAGTGGGCGTGACACGTGTGCCAACATGGTGCCAACAGTACGCAGAGTTCTACATACTTGAGCGTTAATTTGAGAGTGTTAATTATTTCGCGCAAAACGTCGAAAATCGTGGAAAAATGCTTGATTTTGCTAGTTTGGAGTGCAAAAATCATAGTCGCAATCGCATGTAATATTATCCATGGTGGTGTTTCACATATCCGTTAAGTCTTATGTTATTTAATTGTAATATGTTTTTAAATAAATTGTAATAGATTTTTTGTTATAAGAAACGAAAGTAAACCTTATAACGTTGCAATAAGGTTTTAAGGCAATTTTGGATAACGTAATTAGATGTTAATCATTCATCGTCTTCCAGCTGATGCCGCTAGATGACAGCACATGAAGAAAATTTCAATATAAAATCAAAACGTGTTATTTGCAATAATAGGCACTGAACTTTCAACGATATATGCCAACTAGGCAAAGGTTTAAATTATATTAATAGGCCTGAATTTGTTACATCTTTTTAAACTAGAAACTATGACCAATCATTATCAAGATTTTATAGTGTTTAACATACGATAGTGTGAGTTTTAGCAACAGCGGTTCTAATAATAATCGAAGCTTAAGGTACGTCCATCGTTGTTTCTTCCGTAGTTTCATTTGTGGCTTCACCGAGTGATGGTCGTGCATAGGTCAAGAGGTCAAATATGCGAGATGTATATGTAAATTAATACGAAACAAAACTATATAAAACGATAATAGAATCAATTCAAATCAAAAATCAAACCAAATTTGAAATCGATACCAAAGTATTGATTCAAAAGTCGAACATAAAAAAATCCTTTTTTCGATTTTTTTTGTGTTCGTTCGTTTTTGTGAACTCGTTTCAGTATGCCAATTTAGAGCAACCGCTTTACCAACTGAGCAAAAGCCCTTAAAATTAAAAAAAACAAAGATCTGTAGTCATAATCAAATTCAAAAATTTTGTTTTTTTCTCAGAAAATAGTTAAAATATATTTTTCATCTCACTAGCTCGGAAAGGCTTTCTCATTAGAAATCTGCGCGCAAAGGCGTGCTTTAGAATTCTAAGTTGACGACGGACTGTGGTGCACCTAACTTTTCCTTTCGATGAAAAAAAAAAGGTTAGAGCGAGTTCTTAGGTTTTCGCGATTGTTACACATAGGAAATGAAACTATTCAGATTTGGTGGATTCCGGTTGACTGTCAACCGTGACCAT